CGAGGCGGCCGACGCGCTGGCAAAGGCAGCATCCGATGCCAACAGGGGTCTTTGCCAGCGACCAACACAAGCCCTCGGTTCGCTACGAGGGGTCGGAACAAGCCAGTGACGGTCCACCCGTTCTAGGCTCAGGGGCTTACCAATCGTCGGCTCCATCCAACCCCGAAGTCATGGAGCTTGAAGAGGACCCAGCGGCAGAGCCCGACCCTCTGGTCGACTAGAGGATGCCCTACCTTGACTACCTCCTTCGTGATACGCTGCCAACGGCTCTCATGTCGCGCCAAGTCCTTTGTTCTTGTGGGGAGCGAACTCTACAAGCAAAGTCACACCAAAATCCTACAGCGATGCATCCCCATCGAACGGGGGGAGCGTTTGCTGAGCAATATCCATGGTGGGGTCTACGGTCACCATGCCGCGCCCAGAACCCTGGTCGGAAACATGTTTCAACAGGGCTTCTACTGGCCTACTATGGTAGCCGACACCGAGCATATCATACACACCTACGAAGGGTGCCAGTACTACGCTCGACAGACTCACCTACCGGCCCAAGTGCTCCAGACGATCCCCATCACCTGACCGTTCGTGGTCTAGGGGCTCGATCTGGTTGGACCTATCAAAAAAGCGCTCGGGGGCTACACCCACTTGCTTATCACCATAGACAAGTTTACCAAGTGGATAGAAGCTCAGCCGATCTCCGCGATCAAATCCGAGCAGGCCGTGTTGTTCTTCCTCAACATCGTCCATCGCTTCGGAGTCTCGAACTCCATCATCACGGACAACGGCACGCAATTCACTAGAAAGAAGTTCCTTCGATTTTGCGATGAATACCACATCCGCGTCGACTGGGCCTCCGTAGCACACCCCCGAATGAATGGGCAGGTGGAATGCGCAAACGACATGGTCCTACAGGGCCTCAAGCCTAGGATCTTCAACCGGTTGAACAAGGTTGGCGCAAGATGGGTCGCTGAGCTTCTCGTGGTGCTCTAGAGTCTTAGGACAACACCCAGCCGGGCCACTAGCTACACGCCATTCTTCATGGTCTATGGTTTCAAGGCCATCCTCCCAGCCGACCTCGACTATAGAGCACCAAGGGTCAGGGTGTACGATGAACAAGGAGCCGAGGCATCCCTCGAGGATGCCATGGACCAGCTGGATGAAGCGCGCGACGTTGCCTTCCTCCGCTCGGCCAAGTATCAGTAGGCGTTACGACGATACCACAGCCGTTGAGTGCGGGGTTAGGCCTTCAACGTCGGAGACATGGTTCTTTGCCTTGTCTAGAGCAACAAGGACCCTCACAAAGCTCTCTCCTCCGTGGGAGGGACCGTACGTCATCGCAGGAGGTGCTCCGGCCTAGGTGCCTACAAGTTGAAGACCATCGACGGTGAGGTCTTCGCCAATGCCTGGAATATCGAGGAGCTATGTCGCTTTTACCCTTAATAAACGCACACTTTCTCTTATCAGTTTTGTTATTGAACTCCCGATCTTTCGGGATATCCGACCTCGGCAACGGTAAAGGATCGGGCCTGACTCAGGGGCTAATATGAGCACATTTATCCAGCAAGCATTCTCTGCCCCCCCCCTCCTTTTTACGTTAAGACCTAAGAGCTAGGTTTACGGGAACAAGCTCTGAGTATAACTGGTCGAACTACGGGAGACCTATGCCCCAACGGCTACGGTGTCTTTGCTCACTAGTGTGATCAGAATTGGCTCACCCGCACTCTAAGCTTTTACGACCTTAACGATGGAAAGGGTCGGAGTACGCTAACCTTTTTATACAAAAAGGCGAGAAGAGCTTAAAAGATGTTTAATATAATGAAATTTGAAAGCCTATCCATTTGTTACAAGTTTCTCTGCCTGGCTTACCTGCCTAACTAAATTCTTGCGTGGGATGTTCTCATCCTTTATCTCCGCTGGAAAATCTTGTCTTAGCAGGTAGCACAAGTCGCCTCGATGGCTGTAACGCCCTAGAGTCCAAACGGCTTAGATCCACTCTACACGCTGAGCAAACCACACCTACCACCATCCCACTTACGCTTTCGTCCTCGCTTCGCGTAAAAGGATTGACCCAGGAATGGTGGGATGGACTCTAGAAGCCTTATATGTTGGTCTATCCCACCTTTAACAACCAAGGTAGAACTAAACTCTCCACAATATCTCATTACCTTCCATATGGGCCACTATGGGCCAAATTCTAAACTGGGCCGGATGTCACATACACCCCCCCTCAAAGGAACCGACGTCCTCGTTGGCCCAACACACCCACAACTAGGCAAACGATGACCAGGAACGTTCCCTCTTAGCACACGCGCCCGTGCGTCTAGTGCCGGCACATGTGCCATGTCGTGCACCCCCGCAGGGCCTACACGCCCAATGAACCCCATGTCCGCGCCCCTGACCCGCACGCGCCCGTGGCCGCGAAGGTCGGCTCTGATACCATTTGTAACGCCCCAGAGTCCAAACGACTTAGATCCACTCTGCACGCTGAGCAAACCACACCTACCACCATTCCACTTACGCTTTCGTCCTCGCTTCGCGTAAAAGGATTAACCCGGGGATGGTGGGATGGACTCTAGAAGCCTTATATGTTGGTCTATCCCACCTTTAACAACCAAGGTGGAACTAAACTCTTCACAATATCTCATTAACTTCCATATGGGCCACTGTGGGCCAAATTCTAAACTGGGCCGGATGTCACAGTGGCTTAGCCACCGCCGAGAAATGGGTAGGAAGCAGACAGGATCACGCTCATATCCGGTGGAGGCTTTCCGGACCCATCACTCTTACCATCGAGGTAAAATCGGTGCCCAGCTCGACCGAACGGCTCAAAGCCGCTGCCGAGAGACAAGCATCTTTACTTTGCGCATTAATTTCGCTACCGAGCTTCCGACCCCAGCAACGGCAAGGAGTCAGACATCTCTCGGGGGCTGGCGAGAGTGTCTATCCGGTAGACATTCTCTATGACCGACCCCTCCTTACATTAAAAATTGGAGGCAGGGTGTGTGGACACAAACTTTGAGTAAACCTGGTCGGACCGCTAGGACCCTACGCCCCGGCGGCTACGGTGTTTTCGCTCGCCAGCGTGATCAGAGTCTTTGTCTCCGCACCTCAAGCTCTAGCCTCCACCTTCTCGAGAAGGGTTTGGAGGGGCCTACCTGCGGAATCTCCATCAAGGAGAGGCCATCACGGAGCCGGCGTAACTCAGTCTTCAAAATGCATCATTCACATACATACCTATCATTAATTCTAGGCATCCCTTAATTCTATCACCAACATAAATACGTGGTAATTACAGTATCTCTCTACGATTAAGAAAAGGTTGCATGGTAATTTTCTTTATCCCATACATCAATCCCATGAGATTTGGAGGTGGAAAGAAAAGATTAGACACACGGGCATCACTGCTACCTTTTGCATACCAAGAAGAATTGGCTTCCAAAGTTTGGAGACTATTTAAGCATCGATGTGAAAAGAGACAAGTTCAAAATGTGTTGGTCTATAGAAACATGACAACAGACTATGACAGAGCAAAAAAGATTGAATTTTTGCAGCCCCACGTCCTTCTTCCCAGAAAATTAATTGTGATGATTGGTGTAATCATATTATCCCTTGAACATGATTGGCATCGTTTCTGAAGTAGTGGAGTGGGCAACTGAGTATACATGTATTCCATGTTCATAAGTATTACCCGTTAGGATTTACAACTACTCCACTACTGGATCTAAGCCAACACAATGACACATTTGAAGCTCTAATCAGTAGCACAGCTTGTCAAAGCTCTGTAACTTGAACAGTGAAGCTAGCACATCATTCTCCAATTACATTCACACCCATTCCATCAACGTTACTGATGTTATACTGAGAAGTACGTGTACGTACATGGTATATATTCCAAAAGAAGAAAAGAAAATAAAAGAAAACGAAAGGGGCAGTGACGCACTCGCTCCCAGGTCCCAGCCAGGTGAACCGGCCAGGTCTGCTTCAGTCGAGTCGCCATTGCTTCCCCCTCTCGCTAGCTCGTTCCCACACCAGGCGCGACAGCCGCAGTCCACCCACTCTATAAACAAATACATCCTCGCGACCATACTGCAATACAGCCCGGCATACATCCATCCCGTACCCAAGACGAAAATGAGAGAGAGAGAGAGAGAGTAAAATGCGTGCCGTTGGGCTGACGGTTTCTACGGCTGATAAACCAGCTGATCATTGTTTTGTTGTGAGAGAAAAACACCGTACTATGACCGATAAGTTCAAGCGGACAGGGCGCAAGCAACAACTGAATACAGGAATACATACGTACACACCAAGAAGGCAAGAAAGGGGATGGCGATGGGTGCCCAGATAGAAGTATAGAACACACTGACACACGTTGCTGACTTGCTGTTGTGGTTACATGTACAACAGCAGCTTAACCTCCAAACCCCATACGGAAGCTTTGCAAGCTTGCATGTTACTCATTTGACCCACCCCCAGTACTAGTAGTAGGCCAGTCTCGTTCTCTCGTTCTCTATAACACCTAAGATGAAGAAGGAGAAGGTGAAGGAAGAGGAGGAAGGGAGCCAGACAATGCAAATCCTAGCGCTAGAAAATAGAGTGTGTTGTTAGAAGTGTTGGTGGGGGAAGAGATCCTGCAACCATAAAAGAAGAAAGCAGGCGAACCAAACCAAACATACCAAAGCGAAGCAAAAGAAAGCCACGCATCCAACAAAAGGGCACCAAACTCGTGAAGTGATCGTCGTCATATATAGGGAGCAGCAGCCAGGCCGTCGAGAAGGACAGGGGAGGAGAGGCACACGCAGCCGCAGCAAGCAAGAGCTGCGACTGCGAGCAGGCTAAGCTAAGCGATCGACCTCCGTCCATCGCAGCAGATCTCTCTCTCTCTCACAGGCTACAGGCTACAGAGAGTGAGGAAGAAGAAGCAAGGAAGCGTTGTTTTCGCTCTCTCCATCGACCTTTCGTGGGTGCGCACGCTACCCCGGGTGCGGAGGCCGCACACCAGGGAGATGCAGCAGCGGCGCAAGTCGGTGTTCGCGTCGGCGCCGTTTGCGATGAAGCAGGCGGCGCTGGGAGCCGGCGTGGCGGCGCGCAAGAACGGCACGCCGCTGTCGCTGGCGGCCGTGGTGTTCGCGCTCTTCGTCTTCGCCACGTTCCTGTACAACGAGGACATCAAGTCCATCACCGACTTCCAGTTCAGCTCGGGCGCCATCCGCGCCAAGTCCCCCGACCTGCACCTCCTGCAGGAGGCCGAGGCCGCCGCGCACGCCGCCGTCAACACCCTGGCCAAGCGCGGGGAGGAGGTCATCGTGCGCGTCCTCGAGGTGCCCGCCGCCGCCGCCGCCGCGGGGGCGGCGCTATCGCAGGCGCCCGTCAACACCACCACCAGCGTCGTCGTCGCCGCTGCCGCCGCAGCCGCCGCAAAGGCCGCCAATGCCAACGCCAACGCCAACGCGGTGGTGGACGTCGGGCAGGAGAAGGAGAGGGACGTGACGCTCCCGACCGTCACGGGCGGAGGCGGCGCCGACGAGGCGCGGCGGCGCGCGGACGAGGAGGTCGCCGAGAAGGCCGCGTCGGCCAAGGCGGCGGCCGCCACCGCAGCGCTGCGGACCGTGGTGAGCGTGCCGGAGACGTGCGACCTGTACCGGGGCAGCTGGGTGTACGACGAGGTGAACGCGCCCGTGTACAAGGAGGGCGAGTGCGAGTTCCTGACGGAGCAGGTCACCTGCATGCGCAACGGCCGCCGCGACGACTCCTACCAGAAGTGGCGCTGGCAGCCGACGGACTGCGACCTGCCGCGGTACGTCCTCGCGACGCTTCCTCTGCTTTGTTTCTTTCTGATGATCGTTTGCTTCCATTCGCGCTGCCCGGAGATCATCGTCGGTTTCAGAAACCTCCCCTGTTTATCTGGAAACTGACTGATGCCTGTTTGTTTCGACCGTTTTCTGCTTCTCCACATCAGAGGACAAGTAGAGTAATGTAGTAGTACAAGGTGAAGTACACTGTTTTCAAATCAAATCAAATAAAAACAAAAACAAAAAAAGGGGACACTACTCCTACTACTCTTCTTTAAAGCGTGATCTTGTAAGAACACGGAAATTAATGGTCAGCGTGTCAGATACATTAATGCATGGTTAGTACACAGAGCGTTCGATATTTGCGCATGCACGAAGAATGGAGTGGGACTGTGGGAGTGCAACAAAGGACTGTACTGTCCGTTGCGTTTATGCGCACCCGTGTTATTACTGACGGTCTATTTAGTTAGTTGGTTCTAGGCTGATAAGTTTGGTTAATGTTGGTTTGTTATGAGAGAAAAACATTGTTGACTGGCTGATAAGTTCTGGTCGAAACCAACAAACGAACGTTCTGTAAATTCGAATCAGGCACGCCAAAATATTCGGTTTTCCAACCGAGAAACAGCTAGTAGTAGTATCACTGTTACATTAGCGGTAACGGCAAATGGTCATCCTATCCGATACCTAATGCAGGTTCGACGCGCGGCTGCTGCTGGAGCGGCTTCGCAACAAGCGGCTGATGTTCGTGGGGGACTCGCTGAACCGGAACCAGTGGGAGTCGATGGTGTGCCTGGTGCAGTCGGTGATCCCCAAGGGCGCGAAGACGCTGACCAAGTTCGTCAACGGGGGTTCCAGCAACGTGTTCTACGCGCACGAGTACAACGCGACGGTGGAGTTCTACTGGGCGCCCTTCCTGGTGGAGTCCAACTCCGACAACCCGAAGGTGCACAGCGTCCCCGACCGGCTCATCCAGTGGCACGCCATCGCCAAGCACGCGCGCAACTGGCTCGGCGTCGACTACCTCGTCTTCAACACCTACATCTGGTGGCTCAACACGCTTGACATGAAAGTCCTGTGAGTAGTAGCTAGTGGCTAGTGCGACAGTTCCTGATGCTGAATTGCTGATGCTCGTGCAAACGATGATCGCTGGCTGACATTATTGTTTTGTTTCGGTATGCAGCAAGGGCTCCTTCGACCAGGGCTCCACCGAGTACGTGGAGGTGGACCGCCCCGTGGCGTACAAGGAGGTGCTCAAGACGTGGGCGAAATGGGTGGACCGGAACATCGACCCCAACAGGACCACCGTCTTCTTCATGGGCATGTCGCCCAACCACATCACGTACGTCGTCGTAAGCCACGTTTTTTTTCCTCCGCACTAGCTATAGGACTTTCAGTATATCTGCATTTTAATTTTCTCCGTAATGCAAGCACGCTTCATTGAGCATTGCATTATTGGCGCACGTGCAGCACACCAAACGGCGGGACGCACAGTGACACGGCTCTGTCAATTTAGGTGGCAATCAGCGGTTCAGCGCTGCCTTTGCGAGGGGAAAACTAGTGATGGTAACGGTGAATTAGATCGTACACCTTGCTAGCAGCAGCGACACCTGCTTTGCCTGATCAATTAGGTGCCGAGATAAAGACCAGTGACCCTTCAGAGGTGTAGCACAAGCTATAGCTAGCCGACGCATCGTCCACTCGTGTTGTAGCAGCATGGCATCTGCTCACAGAACTTCCTGCGAAAATTCAGGCCACATGCCTCAGAAAGATGGTTGGCGTAGGTGTATGATCAGTTGAAACATGATCTCGATACCTACCAACGTAGAGATATAGCTAGCTAGAAACGCGTTATGAAATTCTAGGTAGCATTGCAGCCCGATTAGCGATTACGACGAAAAAAATGACAGTCAGGGTAATGGAGTCTGCAAATTCCCCTCCTAGAAACGTTGTTCCAAACAAAGATACGTGTAGAGAGTGTTAGATACGGTAATGCAGGTGGACCATAGAAAACTCAATCCAGGCCCACACACCGTGGCCATAGGCATGCACCTCTATGTAGGCCCACCTACCTAAGAACAAGAGCAAGCATACGATTCCAGTTTCCCGAGCCCCACGCCGGAATAAACGGCTTACTCTTCTTCTTAAGCTAATGACAAAAAAACAATGGCGATGATACACCTGTGTCCATTGCACTGGTTGTGCCCGTAAAAGAAGACCACGACAAAGATTTGGACCAGTCTCGCCATTGCAGCATCCTAGCCTCTCTTTTTTTGAAATGTTTGTTACTCTCTTCATTCCAAATTATAAGTCGTTTTGACTTTTTTGATTTATCCATTTTGCTATGTATCAAGACATATTATTATATCTAGATACATAGCAAAATGAATGTATTAAAAAAGTCAAAGCGACTTATAATTTAGAACGGAAGGAGTATTACACAAAGTGATCCTTGTAGTGTTCGATATGCAAAGTTAATTTGATCGCCGTGGGATGGAGCCTCGATAAAGATGGGAGTGGGACGACCAACGCGTCACATGCTGTGCTATAATGGCACCAACATGGGTAGAGACACACAGTAGTACGTACGTTGCAAGTTGTATCATCAGCGTTTCTGAAACTGAAACTGAAACTGAAACTGAAAACATGGATATGGAGCACTGCAGGCCTGAGGCTTGGGGCAACCAGGGCGGGATTAAGTGCGCCATGGAGACGCTGCCGATCACGAACCGCAGCGCGTCGCTGGACGTGGGCACGGACTGGCGCCTCTACGCGGGGGCGCAGGAGGTGCTCCCCACGCTGCGCCGGGTGCCCGTCCACTTCGTCGACATCACCGCGCTGTCGGAGCTGCGCAAGGACGCGCACACCTCGGTGCACACGCTCCGGCAGGGGAAGCTGCTCACCCCGGAGCAGCAGGCGGACCCCAAGACCTACGCCGACTGCATCCATTGGTGCCTCCCGGGCCTGCCCGACACCTGGAACCAGTTCCTCTACGCCCGCATCGCATCCAGCCCATGGCCCGCCGCCCAGCAGTAGGAGCTTCTTCTTCTTCTTGCTCCGCGGGCCGGCACCTGACGGACGACACACGGGCCTGGGCTCTCCGGCGTTTTCTGCTTGAAGCTGAGCCGAGGACAAAGTTGACAAGGGAAAGGGATGGGATGCTCGCCATCTTTCTTCTTTTTCGCTTTCTTTTTTTTATTACCAATTTTCTTTTGGTTGCGTAAAGCTGTCGTGCCCTGTTGTTAACCTTCGATTCTTTTGTCGAAACAAGTGGAGGGTCTAGATGCCTAGGAGAAAGCAAAAGCTGAGCATGCATCAGATTGTAATGTAATGCAAGGGGGGAAGCAAAGCGGGGGTACATGTAAAGAAGAGTTTTTGTGTTACATTTTATATGCCGGTGCACCCAAGGTCAAGAGAGGTATAAAGATTACCCTCTCGTACGAGGTGCATTTGTTCTTCAATCATGACGAATCCTGTGTCTTTTTTTTTTAGTATTATTATTACCCATTTCCCTACGAGGTGCAAGTGACCAAACAGTTTGAGAGCTACTGTAACTATCCAATATTTATTCAGAAAAAGATGAGCAGGAGAATGACCTGCTGTGCACGCCTCTCTGAAGATGAAAAAGCTGTAAGGAGGCCGGACAAAGTTCCAGCGTTGGAGGAACCTCGTATATGATCTAAGCCACCAAAAAAAAAAAGGATTCCGGCTGCATTCCTTGAGGCAATCAGCCAGAGCTGCATAGTATAGGGTCAAAAACAAGCAGAGAGGGGTTAACCATTATCCACAGCTCGATAGACTGAGGATCAAAGCATGTATGTTGCGGCACAGAAGAAAGTCTCGTTCGCAGGAACCGCCAAACGCACTGCACATAACTGGATTCCTGGTTGCAATCGTGTGATGCTGCAGCATCTGGCATCTGCTCGTGCCACTGCCATGATGCTGCCCTGGATACACACACAAAAACTCCCAGACCCTGAGTCCGTGTCCAACAACAACGACTTGCTGAGGCGAGCAAGAGCCAAGGGGTACTGAACTGCAGCTGGGACCAGGACTGCAAAGCAGAGCACAGCCAGCTTACCGGTGGACAACAGACTTTTAATGGCGTGGCTAGCGCCCCCCCCTACGTCCGTGCCGCTGACCTCTGTCTCGTGTCCCGCGCCCGCCCGCCCATGTCTCGCCTGCAACGCCCGTCTGCAAGTACATGGGGCCCGTCCGCGCTTTCTTCGCCTTCCCGCGCCTAACACCGAGGCGCGGCAACAGAAAGGCGAGGAGGAAGATGCAACACTCAATCTAGTTTTGAAACATCCAGATGCAACAATTGCAACATACGACTGAAAACAAATGAAATATTTGAAATATGCGTCCGAAACACTTACAAAAACACATGAAAACACTTGAAACCATTGTAAAGATACACAACATCCAGATAAAACACTTACATCATATGTGTGAAAACATATGCAACCTCAAGATAAGCACACTTGCAACGTACGTAAGAAAAAACATATGAAACATTGATAACAGGAGCTTGTAACATATGTGTCCAACCATTGCAACATGTGCAACATGCCAATGTACTTTTGCAACATACATCTAAAACATTTGAAACACTTGACGCTTGCAACATGCGTTTTTCACCCTTCTTCCGTACGAAGCACAGAGCGGGGGACAGCCGGTTCCGACCAGCTGGCAGCCGAGGATGGTGGCGCGGCCTGACAACGGCCAGTTACGCCTGCGCTGGGCCTGGGCCTGGCCAACGACGCCCCCCTCTCCTGGCCGCCTGGCCTGGGCGTGGCGAAGGACGGAGTACGGCGGTACGGCGGCGCGGCGGGGGACGGAGGCGCCGCTGCACTCGCCGAGCACGTGCATGCAGCTTGGAGGCAGAGGGCGAGGTGCCGGCGACCGGGTCCAGCAGCAGCTGCTGTCGGTGGGGCGGTTGGCAGCGTACCTCATGCGGAGGATTCCTCCTCTCCGCGGGAGACGGAGGTGCCGCGGGGAATGAGAGCGCCATGGGGGATGGCAGACGGCGGCGGCACGCCGGAGTGGGTGGCGGCGCGGGATGGAGATGGAAGATGCGGATTGGGACAATCGGACAGCCGCATGGCGCCGTGAAGCTGTGACACGTGAGCGTGGAACGAGGGAGACGAGCTTCCGCATGGCAACATTATCGGACTTTTATCATAGCCACTAGGAACCACAGGTATATCTATGCGCATGATTTCTCGGACGCAGACGCCGTGGAGGCGTGGACCACCTGAGAGGCAGAGAGTTGACACTCAACACATCAGCATCGTTGGCAGGTTTTGCCAAAAAAAAAGTGAAAACAGTTTTGTTGTCCTTTCACTAAAAAAATCAAGAAAAGAGTCTGTGCTGCTGCTACCATGCTAAGGAAATTGCTAAGAACAACTCTAGTGTTGGTTTGTGGCGAAAAAAAAACTCTAGTGTTGCTGAAAAGCAAATTGGAGGAAAAGCAAATCAAACCATACACGCTGGAGCGGTCGAACCATGGTTGTCACAATAAAAATTGGACTACGTAAACGTGTTGAGCCTAGCCAAGTTAGATTGTATATCTTGCGTGTGGCTACCCGTGCCGGCGCAATCACCCTAACCACACGAAGAGGAAGATGGACGAGAGAGGACGTTTCTTTACTCTATATATACATATGGATTCCACGATCGACATTCATACTAAGAGAATCCAACTCGACTTTTATTCGTTTCTCATTCACGCCATAGGCTGCATCAGCACTATATGTGCCCTAACGATAGAGTTCGTTGCCTTTCCAAATTCCAACAATTTGGCAACCCAATTGTTGGACGGTCCTATGAAATGCCAATTTAAAAGAAGTTCTACTAGTAGAATTGTTAGGACTTAGATTAGAGTCTATTTTGGATTCACTAGTTCTAATAGTTATTAGCAGCTAAAACTAGTACTAGTGGATTCAAACAGACATATACTAATAGATCAACTAACTATTAGCTAAAGGCTACTAACTCTTAGTTTCATTAGCAAGTTTGTGGTTGCTAATATGTGCTAACAACCTATTAGTAACATATTAGTAGATGGATCTAAATGTTTCCTCTATTAATAATTAGCTAGCTAATAGTGAGTAGATATTAGCTATTAGCTAGCTAACTATCATTGATAGTGGATCTAAAGAGGCCATTAATTTCCCTACAGAGGATTAAAATGAGAGCCCAAGAGTTTAAATAGCCCAACAGATGTAAGCCCATCTGCCTATGACAACTGCGTCATCGATGTTCCTTCTATATATACCAGACGTAGGCCTATCTGGCTATCAGCCTATGGTCTCCGCCGGCTCTCTGCAGGGTTACTGCGTCCATGTCCATGTAGATGCTTATTGATTTTTTTTATATAATCGAAGGATCTAATTTAGTAGAACATGTAAGCTAAACTTCAGTTCAGCTAGAGTGACATAATTAACGATGATCGGAAACTAAATTGATTGCAACTAAAACCAAAGTAGCTGAAACTAAAAATTTTGGTTATATATTCAGTCTAAGGTTTTAAGTGACTGAACTAAGCCTAGTTAGCACGGCAGGTGGCAAAAGGCCTAATAACTCTAACACCTTCATGTACAGCCACGGCGGCGGCGCAACAAAAAATCTAAGTCCAATCTCTATCTCACGTCTCTCTCCCAAAATTCCCTCGCCACCCGACATTACATTATAGAAAACAAACATCTTGTTCGGCTGATGGTTTCTGCGGCTGATATAAATCAACTGATGTTGTTTTGTTGTGAGAGAAAACACTGTACCATGGTTGATAAGAAGTTCAAAAGAATAGGGCAAAAATGTTTCAAAATTTCCTATTATAAAATGAACAGATAAAAAAGGTTATAAACCTATAAAAAATGATAGCCTTTATATTTAGCTAAATTCAAAAACGATCGAAGGAGGTTTCTAGGATAAAACCAATATTACTATTGAGTTTGTCCCGTTCGTTTTTTTGACCCTAGGAGTTTGCATCAAGCACAAAGCTATCGTTGCGTGTTCCACCAATTATACTAACCATATTAGCTTTAATTTTAGGCCATTTTTGTCAATATGACACTTAAAAATGTGCAGTTTGGTCCTGAATACATGGCCAGCCTCTCCACCGCCACGATTGGGCACTACCCCAGCACGTCGTATTGTCTGCCTCCGTGCCCATGTGACATCTTCCTTTCCCCCTCTATTCCTATTCCGACCCCGTGCTCCACCCCCACCGGCGGAGCTCGTCAATTTTGAAGCCTAGAGCCACTGTAAAAGCATATCATCCGCGTCGGATCAAAATACCACTACATTGGTCTAATACCGATAGATAACAAAACTAGCTCATAAATACATAAGTTTAGATGATATAGCAATTCTATATTAAAATCCACAATATAATTGATGCAAACATGAAAGTGGTTTAAAAAATGAACATTTTGACATAATCAATTAACCGTTCATGGAATTTATATTGGATCGGAAAGTTTTCACACCAAAATAGAACTTAGAAATGAGAATGGGGAATTACTAAGCCTCCTCGAGACTTCAACAGAGTCGCTGGTTGCCTGCCTCTGCGCTACGGCTCTGGCCTTTGGCTACCCACACGGCCGCTCAGCCAATGCAGCAGCAGGCGGCGGCATGTGGCCAAGCGGCCAGGCAGGTGACCGCTGGCAGTGGCAGCTTGGCCCCTGGCGCTCGACTTAGCCGCTCAGGCCCTAGGCCTCATGGCGGGCGGGTGAAGCCGTGGCCGGGGAGGAGCGGTGGGAGGGGCGGAGGGCAATCATCCGTGGCTGGCGAGAGGACGGCGCCCGCCAACTAGGATTAGAAGCGTCGCCGGGGGAGGGATGGAATCCAAGAGAAGCAAGAAGAGATGGGGACGAGGAGCCGGGGTCTCGGTCTGTCGGAGATGGTTGCGTCCGCGCTTAACGCATTCTCTGCTTCTCTTTCCTCTTTGTTGGGCCGAAAGTCTACAAAATTTGGCCCAACAACTAGAGCCTGGCCAGAAAATTACATACACTATAAGGGGAATCTTGGGC